ATCTCCTCTCACAACAACACTTACATCACATATCCTATCATATTTTTATCGAATCGGATCATACGAGAAGCCATAAGATACAAGAATAAGATACATCAAATCCAACTCTCGAACCTTAAACCTTTATGAGGTGACAAACACCAAATCACATAGCCTCGCCTTTAAAGATGGCCCATTTTGACGCTTATGGTCGTCCACTACGAGGCGATTCAGGCCCGGATTATGGGTATGAGACCTACAAGACCTACGATTTAAATGATCCCAACAGGCACATGCCTACCTATTCAAACCCCTCGACCTCGACTAGATATGCTACGGAATCTCGAGATTTACCTTATCCTTCCCAAAGCGCATCAAGTCTTCGACCACATTCACCACAACAGTCATACTCATCAAACAACAATATGGGAACGGCATATGGCTCTGACCGTGGCTCCGCTGTAGATAACGATTCAGTATCGCCCGAAATAATCGCAGCAATCACTGAGAAGGTTAAAAGAGAACGTAAGTACATGTTGTGCATCCCTTCACTGCATGTTTGTCATTTTTGTTGTTGAGCCTCGTCGAAATGCCCATGCTTACTGAAACCTATTCACTTAGTTTTCGAACATCTCAAGCAAACAGGCACTATTGATGACCAACCACGAGCTTCGTATATGCAACGTGAATTCTCAGAGAAATCCAACTCTACAAATCAGTCTCCTCCTCCAGATAATCGCAGAGTTTACACTCCTCCTTCACCATCTTCTACAACTAAACAAAGCTTTTCTACTCCACCTACAGAACCTATGAGATCCCCTCCTTTAAGTCCATCCTTGGATAAGCCTTCTGCTAGGTTCAATGACCGTGATCGGGATCGGGATCGGGATCGTGACCGTGGATATAATGACCGACCGGCGCAGAAAGTTCACCGCACATATTCAACCTTGGAATTATCTACAATTGATCACAAATGGGGTCGGTTGTTTGATAATGAATCGCGGCCTACGGAAAGGTTGGGGCAGTTCTTGAGAGGTCTTGCGAATCATATTGTTAGTCTTCCTATACTTAGATGAGGCATTTTGGTGGGACAAGGCTTCACAGAAATGCTTTATCTTCGACCCAATCTGAAGTTGTGTTTGAGAAAACGTACTGATGTCATTCACAGGTCGATGATTTTGCGCCAAAAAAGAGTATTGTGATCACACCTTCGAAAATGGCAACATATTATAGCGCATATCCTATCGGCAAGGAAATTCATCCATATGTTTGTAAGGTTACTCGACTTCTACCATTAACTATATTCGTGCTCATGTTCTATCTAGCCGTTTTCAAAACCCTGTCTAACGCCCAAATTTCGAAGCTATATCAAGATCTTGGATGTCAACATCATCTAGTTCAAGAAGATTTTCATTCCTATCCTACAATACCAGCTCTGACTCCACTTGGATTTGCACACTGGATGACAATTCAAATTTCTGCTTACCCCAGTGAGGAGTCAGAGAGATTAGGAAAAGTTGTCCTAGCTTTACCGATCAATGCCGATGGGCAAATGGTGGATGGAAAACCGGAACGTTTACCAAAACAAATCTCGCGCCACTTGTTACCTGATGTCGGGGATCGTGACTCTGAAAAATTGATGCGAACCGCAATATCTCACTTCTCTGATGAGCTTGGCATTCGTCAAAGCAGCAGAAGTAAACCGACAACCTCTAGCCCACCACCCCGTCAGAATACGCCCGCCGACCGGTCACAATCCCGTCCTGATGATACACCTCAGCCCAGAGCCTCATATGCAGGACCGACTAGCAAGCCTATTGAACGAGAACGAATGCCTTATACCGGTGCACCTTCTGTCACATCTGAGTCGTCAAGCGTCGATGAAGGATCAGCTGTACAAATTGAACGTGAAAGGAAACCATATTCCGCTCAACCTGGTAGTGGCAAAATCTACACCGGGCCCACTAATGTCAATACTTCAAATAGGCCTGGCAGGGCGAGATCCACTAGTCGAGCAAAAGAGCCTCAAGAACGTGAGCGTAGTCGGTCAAGACATGATCGTACACAAAGCAATGCTAGCCAAGACAATTATAAGCCACCGCCAGTGTCATCTGCCAAACGCAATCGCAGCCCGCAGTTCAAGAGCTACAGTCAATCTACACCTACCAATATTGATGTTGGGTCTACTTATGTGCCATCACCTGCTAATTTCCCTCCTACTTTCGGACCTTCGTCATATGGATCAAACAATTCCTTTCCTCCGCCACCGTCTTCTTCAGAAATTCATAGCTCGAGAGATAGAAGACGAGATGAACGGTCTCACCACCGCAGAGGAGTAGAAGATGACCGTTTCTCAAGTACTACTCACATCAATGACTTTATAAGTCCAAGAGATGCGGAAAAATGGGATAGGTTACATGAGGGACTGGACTCGAGAAGCAGTGATTATGATCGTGATCGTCCAACTAAATCCACAGGTTCCGCATATAGTGAACACATGACTAGGAGTTCATATATGGAACCACAAGTTGGCGCTGATTATGAAGACTGGTATCGAAATGGAGTTGATAAGAGTATGAGGAATAGTATGTATTACTGATATAGTGTTTGGGGAAAGGGGGATTTATTAGGTTTTTGGGGATCATATTAACGAACTGGATTTTTATTATGGTATGATTTGATTTTATATGATGGAATGAGAGATGAGATTTATGGATTATTGTTGATGGCGGTTTCTATGTTTTGGATACGGTTGTTTGGTTTTGGAAAACTCGTTGTTTTATTTAGGTAAATGATATGGATGGGGTTGGGGATAGGGATTTGAGTATGGATATGGATGGATATGGATATGATAGTAAGCAAAGAAGGGAAGGGAAGGAAGGGAATGGAAGGAGGAAAGGGAAGGGAAGGGAAGGGAAGGAAAGGCTTCTCGGCAACATCAAATGTCGATGTATGGATGTGTTTTTTTTTTCTTTAGCGTTGAGGAGTCTTTGATTATTCAGTCCGTCATGCAGGCAAGCAAGCAAGCAAGTAAGATACCACTATCAGAAATGTTTTATTGGATTTATAATTTTTATCTTGGTTTTTGTTTTGATTTTGATCTTGAATTTTTGGAGTTTGAAGCTCGAGTTGTGTAAATGAATGATATATGCTTTTGAATGTGTGGGAGGTGGTGATTTGATATATGTGATATTTACCTATACTACTTATCCCTCCACCTTCCCTCCCAAATAAAATAAAACTAGCGTCGCCGCAAATATTGTCATACTAGTATTTCCATAGGTATTTATTTCCATATGTATTTTCCACATTACTTCGTTTCTGAATTATTTTATTATTCAAATTTGAATTCAACCTCCCATCCATCCATTCATCCATTCATCCATTCATCTACAACGCCAATTATCTCTTCTTCTCCTCTAAGGGCACAAATATTCTTTTCTTTCATCCCATTTCTTTCCTTTCTTCTCATACATTCATCTGCTCTTCTCTTCACTTCACTCCACTCTAAACCTCACCACCTTCACCCATAAAAACCCCTTCCATTCCACTACCCCCTCTACCTTCATTAATCATACTTTCCGCATCACCGACCTGTTTCCGCTCCGAGACTTCCCTCATTCCCATTCCCATTCCGGCTTTTCCTTTCCCATTGCCTAATTTTAAATTCATTTGTTTATGTCCTAGACCCAGCGTCAATCCTCGGGATAATCCGTCTTCACTCCCTATCCGCGTTCCACCAATGTCGGGACGGGATTGTGTTTTCGATGTATTATCCCTCATGACTGCTAATTGTTATTGGAGAGGCTCCGAACTCGATGAAAGTCGGTTTAGGTGAAGGTATACATCTGTTCCGTATCTTTTTGTAGGAAATTTTGTTAGCTTATTCCATGGTTGTACGAGGGAAAAGATATAAAAAAACTCGTAAACATACCCCTCCATACTAATCAGCTTCAAATCTCCTCCAAAATATCTAGCATATAATCTTGAAATTGGTAAACCATAACCAAATCCTGCCATTGGTGCTTTGAAATCACTCTTATCAAAATCTGGATCTAGACTGGGTGTACGGTCCACGGTAGTATACATATACGTCCAAACTAAAGGTATAGCACTTCTAGGGATTCCGCCACCTTCATCCGAGATTTTGATGGTAATATCCTCTCTCCCTTCGGCCACGACGACTTTCGTGATGGGAAAGTCTTGTTTATCCTGTCCATGTGTTTCGACGACGGCTCGAAGGGAGTTTTTGAGAGTTTCGAAAAGCATGTGTGACAGATGACCCGGTACATACATGAAATGAAGGTCTGGGGGACACACTAATTGAATCTTGGGCGCATCGAAAAGCCCATAGTGATCTTCGCAAACAAATCTGGCATTTTCAATTGCTTCTTCGGCGAGATCTCGAACATTGGTTTTCGTGCATATAATACCTACGTAATTAGGATCTTTATCGTGACTTTGATCTGTGAGTGCTATGTGTTGTCCAATGAGCATTCTTATGCCAATACGAGACATGTAGAAGCGATCAAGAAAGGACTGTATGTTATTATCAATTTGCATACGTTGCCGCTTCCGCTTGTATTCGAGAATTCCTTGCGCAACGGTGGTAACCACTCCATCATGCCGCCTTTTTATATGGTTAAGGGTTTGTGCGAATCTTTGATTATAATCGTGAAGTTCCGGAGGCCAATCCGTACTATCTTCTACAGTAGCAAAATATCTTCTTGCCGATGCCGACTTTGATTCTTTTCCGTTCCCATTCGAGCTATACTGTCCCCTCATCACACTCGGGTTTTGTGTGGCTTCTGTCAAAATCTTGGATGTTTTCCCATTTATTTTCGCAGGCTTCATAAGTCTCTCTTTGACATCTGATGATAATTGTGGCCGAGGAAGTGTGGTTATTTCCTTTCACATGTCAATTCACGCAAACGTTTCCTTTGGTGTGTGAGAGACGAGTCATACCTCAAATGACTGTGCATACCATTCCTTCACTTTTTGAATCGAGGGCATCTCATTCAGTCCATCGGGTAAATCTGATAGCTCTTGTACTCGATGCGCAAGTCGTATGGGAAGTTCTTCAGAGAGAAATTGTGATGCCCGGAAAAGGGTACCTGTTTGTTAAGTAGTGCCTGGTCAGTATAGAACAATGACACAACCTCTGAAATTCGCAGAATGTATTCCTAAGCATACCTGTAGATGGCCTCTCCCCGAATTGTACCATCTGCCTCAAACTCACTCCCGTGGCGGGGAAATGTGAGTAATGTTTGATGGTATCCATCAACATCTCACTCGTCTTCCATGACATCTTGTGTAATTCCTTTTGGCCCTAGGGCCCCTAAGATATGATGGTAACCCCTTCACTTATCGATTACTCCCGTTCACCATTAGCTGTCGTTGATGGTAGAATATTCTCTTTGAAACGTTTGTTGATTTTTCTCCCCGCGTTTGTGATATCCTAGAAGTACCTTTACTCAAATGACGCAGAGGCTAACCAATTGCTACCGAGGCAAAGCTAAGGAATTGGTTGCTTGATTGATTTATCGATTGATTGGTAAATTGAACAATCGGAAACAGTCAAAGTATTTATCAATTGATTGTTTGCAAACAAATAGTATATTAATAATGTTGAGAACGACAATCAAAGTGTAAATATGAGAATTTCTTTGTTCAAAAAATTGATCGTGTGCACATACATACATACATAGCAATTCATTCAACAATGATCCAATTAATCGTCATGTAAGTGTTTACGTATGTAATCATGTTTTCATACAGTGCCAGTGCCAGAACCAGAAGCAGAGCAGTGCCAGTGCAAACGCCAATGCCAGTGCCAATGCTATATCACACGAATCTGCAGCAAATCGAAAGATACAGTAATGAGATGTGAGTACCGAAAGCTGCCCCTTGTTTCCGAACGACCGAAATAATCTCACTGCGCCAGTGAAGATTACACCACCACACCACACCACCACACCACACCATGACCTTAAAACTTTAAACCTTTCCCCGCCCTTGTCTGTATATATTCTAAGCTTTCCACCATCCGACACATCTTCAACCACACTGCAGTCTGCAGTCAATATTCACTCAACTCAATACTAGGTCCTCCGTTCGACTCGTCATATAGCTGAAAGTGTGTGTGAGAGAGATGATGATGGAAAACTCCCCATAAGCTTGCTGAGCTACAATCATCTTGTACGCTCGTGATTAGAATGGTTATATTAACGTTGCTTTGTCTCACTACAAGGTCTTGGTACTGTACTATTGACAATCGACAAGCTTAGTTAACCAGAGAACTTTTGAGCAGGAAAGAAAAAAAAATTAAAATCTTCCCTTCACAGCTTTGAATCTTACCCTGCTCCACACACAAGGCAGGCAAGCATCGATATTACCTCGGATGATGATTTATCGACAAGATCCGGAAACTTTTCATTCCTGCGAATGCTGGCGGGGGATAATGTAGGTACGTACTAGACTTGCGAGACTTACAATTGGCGGAGAAATGAAAAGAGGAAGATGTTGACAAGAATTTTGGCTCGCATGTGAAGTTACATTCTCTGACTGAGCTGAGTCTTGGGTGTCGTATGGATTGTCGTTATTTCTCTTCTTTCTGCTTTTCCGTGCCTTTTCCCGAAATCTGGTGATCCTGTTGATTCAGAGACGGATAAATGGAAGGTTATAAACACGTGATAATCTTGAACCAAAATCTCGCATCGACATTGTTTACGAAAGATTTGAGAGTTGAAAAGTTGATTTTGGATCTAAGATTTCCCCCAAGGTTTCTTGTGTATTGGATGAGTTATCGCAGCTTCAATATTTCCTGCTCCCTTCTGTCATGAGATTGCTTTCTAATGCTGTGTTGAGAGAACCAAAGGATACAGATGCAGCATAAAGACTAAGATGAGGAGACTTATACACATACGAATCGACATCCAAAGTTTTGGTTGCGCTCATTGCAAATAAATGTTTTAATTCGTCTGGTGGTCCTTGGGTGAAAGATTCATTTCATTAAGCATGAAACTCGTCAACCTTTTCGCGTGACACTAAAACATCAAATTGGGAAAGAAGGAAAGAACGATTTGACAAGTCAATCGAGGAAGATGCAACTACCCGTGAAGTGACCTACCTATCTACCTACCTCGCACTTTAATCTTTACATTTCTCTTCTTTCTCGAAAGCAGAAGATACTACTCATAGCAACATCATTTCCGTGACATCATTGTCAGTACAGCTTGAGATATCTTTTCCTAAAGTTGAAAGGAAAATGATTTCTTCTAGCAATTACCGTTTCGGAGGCATTTGTCTTGTCGTATTTATCTTCATTTATGCAGTTTGGTCTCCTTTCAAGGGCTTTGTGTCTGACAATGTTGTGGTTTCATCTAAACCAAAGATAATTGAACCTGGAGAAAGGTAATAACCATAACTTATCCATGGTATGGCTATTCTAACCACCAAAAGTGCCATCAAACATTATCTAGGTAGCAAAGATTGTGGAATCTTACAATCGGACATATATCACGTACCATATCCCGCCAAACCGAATGTTTCGCCTTTCTGCAAAAATAGAGCAACACTGTTAGAAGCTTTGAGTAGTGGGGGCAGACATGGATTCGATGAACCATATGTTGGGAAGGGTAAGAATACACTCTTACCACTTACTGTAAATAGCACTCACACATATAGGTTGCACATATCGATGGTTTTCAACATCTGAAATATGTATGATCCTCGAACGATTCAGCGCTGTCGTGTTCCTCGGTGATGAGACAGCTCAAGCTATATATGCTGCTCTCAATGTCTTCTTACGAGAAGATATATCCCACGGTGGCTTGCAGGAATGGATGATGACGGATGATGAACGAATTGCTTGCAAATGCGATGCTCAATTCTTAGATAATAATTGTCTCGGATATTCTGTGAAGAGCTTTGAGGAAGTTATCAAAAATGAAGCAAATGACCCAAAAGGAAGCCCATATGCATGTCAAAGTAAGATTTCTTTGACTCTTCTTCAGAATAGGATTTTAACATCAAATCTAGGAACTCCACATGCTTACATACCTTTCATGACCACACCTGCGTCATCCGCTGCCATAGCTACATTTCAATCATTAGCATACCAAAAACCAGATCCTTGGCAACCTACTCCCGTGATCTTCTCTCTCGGCCATAGATTTTCTCACGATATGAAGTTCTCCGTAGACTCGATAAATGAATGGATTGGTATCACCAATGGTGCTGAACGCAATATTCCAATATTACTTCTTGGTCCTACTGCCTACGGCGTCTCAAGACAATCAAGTAACGATGGTAACATGGAAATATGGAAATACCAAGAAGAGTTAAATAGAATCGCGCCCGATAAACATATGGATATTCTTCGTCTTTGGAATTTGACTATACAGGCGAGTAGTATGGATGGTGAAAGATATGGGGAGAAGGTTGCGCTGGTTCAAGCTATGATGGTTATTAATTGGTTAGCGAAGCTGGAAACTTCCTAGATATAGTTTGAGGTCTGATTTGAAGGGACCTGGAAAGATAAAGATAGGCTGATATGGTAAAGGAGCGTTGAAATGGTCGTGGAGGGTTCGGCTTGTACTGTCCACCAGTCTACTGAGGACATAGGTAGTTTCAATACAGACAATCATTTATTCGCTCGACTGTACAGATACACATTTTTGACCTTTAGATTTTCCATCACATCAACTGTACAAGTAAATTCAGTCAACGTGACTGACTTACTGACTTGTGGAAAGAACCTGGAAGATTTGAATTTCAAATTTCTATTCAGAGTAGAGTGATCTAGTAAAACAACGTCATGAACTTACATCTTTAAAAAAAAAAGAAAAAAAAAAGCGAATCAAAATTAATAATCCAACACGTATATTCCTAATATCTAATATCTAATATCTAATATCTAATATCTAATATCTAATATCTAATATCTAATATCTAATATCTAATATCTAATATAATCACAATATAATTACAATATAAAACCACTGACTCACTTAGGGGGGAGGGGGAAAAGGTGGGGAGGTTATTAATGATGGTTAGGGTTTGGATGGATGGAGGGGAGGGGAGGGGATTGGATTAGATTGAGGAGGTTGGATGGTGCTGTGTATATGAAATGTATGTAGGGAGGTTTGGAGGTTTGGAGGTTTGGAGATTGGATTGAGAGGAGGGGATGTAGGGGAGGGGGTTTCAATTAAGGGTTTGGAAGGAGGGAGTTGGGTGGAGGGGATTGGAGGATTGAGACTGGGTAAAGGGCATTAAATGGAGGGGTTTGGAGGTTATTTGGGATGCTGAGATAATTGATGTTGGGACTTGGATGGATAGTTTGGATAAATAATAAGTTTTAATTAATTTCATTTTTTTTTAAATCTTTTTATTTCCGTTCTATATAGATTGTCAGGTGGGTAGTTATATATGAATAATTTAGAGAATTAACAAGAATTTGAATTCAAATTCTTTTATTCAATGAACGTGTATTATAAGTACTAGAAGTACTAGACGCCCACTACTAAATGGCTTGGATTGTGTAAAAAAAAAAAAGCAATTCATTTATCATAAGACGCTAGTGATATATATATCCAGTAACTTAATCAAGATTCATCTTTTCACCCTGCGCTATTCCTTCTCTTCCACCTATAACCTCACTTTCTCCCTCATTTCTCTTTCTTTTCCCCTGTCCTCCCTCCTTTCCCCCTTCAAATCCCGCTTCTCTACCCCCTCCCCTCAAAATCTCCATCGCCGCCTCCGCAGCCCTCGCCTGAATCTCCTCCTTCCTAACTCCACCACCCACTTCTACAATTTCCCTCCCCCCAACAAACACTTTACATAAATATTCTATACCGCTCTCCCCTCCCCCATCCTTCCCATCATCCTCATCCTCACCACCTATTCTCCTATTCCACAAAACATACTTAACATCCTCAAAATCAGCAACTATCCCCAATTCCTCCTTCGGATGCATAATCCTAACTCCTTCTCTCAAAATCCTCCTCATATATCTCAATATCCCCATCCTCTCTACAACTCTCGTACATACATCTATCGATCCACTATCAATCCATATCGCTCCCAATAAACTCTCAATCATATCCGAAAAAAACTTTCGCGCATCTAATCTTGATAATAAAGTCCAAGGGAACTTATCTCCCGTTTTAATGACCGCGAGGATCTCTTCACGAAGTTCCTGATGTCGAGCTAAAGCTTGTTTTTGATAGATGGAAAAGGTAGCACTTGAATGACGGAGAAAATTCACCAGGGAAAATCGACGTCGAGTGTGCGTTTCGTGGATTTGGTGATCTTTTCCTTCGGTGAGATCGGTTACGTATTGTTCGATACTCATTTCCATACAAAGAAAGGCAAGGAAATCTGCATTTACGAGGGCGGAGCGTAAGAGATGCATTTGGAAATGTGAGAGTTCGGTTTCATAAGACCACATGGCTGTAACGATGATATTGTCTAGGATGGCATCACCGAGAAATTCAAGCCGTTCGAGTGATTGTGTGCCGTTGATGTAAGACGGGTGTGTCATGGCTTCGACGAGGAGCGATTTTTTGGTGAAGGTATATGCGAGGATTTGTTCGATGGGCTGTAGTGCGATAGGTAAGTGAAGATCATCTGCTGCTAGTTGATAAAGTGACATTTGTCGTGTTTCAAGAGGTAGCCAGTTGAGCTCGGGAAAGAACAGTTGCAAGGATTTGAGAGCTTTGGGGATACCACCATCAACCATGCATGCGCCAATGAGTGCTTCAACAACATCAGAGAGAACTTTGGAAGACATCTGTCTACTTTTTTGCTCTGTGGTTTTCAAATAATCTTCAACATACATCGGACGCCATTTGGAACCTGTAAACTTTTTGGTGATTATATATTCATCCAAACCAAGTTCTACGGCTGCTCTTGATGAGCGCGAGTTAGAAACGATGCGATCTTTCATAGCCGACAAATATCCTTCAGGCCAAAGAGGGTATTCGGAAATTAACTGTACTGATGTACATAACTTTAGTATTGAGTCGCCTAAAAATTCTAGACGCTGATAATTTGAGGTCAACGAGTAACTGGCATGTGTGATAGCTGTTTGAACAAGGCCTCGATCGCTGATCTCGAGATCCTTGAGGATAGTTTTGCATAGACGATCGACAATAAGTTGTACCTCAATATGATGTGTGATAGAAGGTATCATCATGCCGAACTGCACTAATTGGAAAGGCATTGCATCTTGCACGCATACTGAAGCCGGTAAGACACACGAGAATTGTTTGGAAGATGAAGGACTTTGGTTTTCCACCTTGTGCAAAAAATCTGTACGACGCGTAACTGGAATTAAAGCCAGATACGGTACATTTTCCGGTGCATTTGAATAGTTTAGATAAGTGTGCTGGACTTCGTTGACGGGTGGCTTGCTGGGTAACCATTTTTCAAAGATATAGGGCTGGGCCAATTTATCGAATTCTCTGATGAATCCGGTGATCCGTGAAGGCTCATCGACGGTGACCGTCACGCAATCTAAATTGAGTGACGCTGGAGCTCGATTTGCAATGAACTGCACAACTGTTCGACGTGAAAATATATCAAATCTACGACTAAAAGCACCAGATAAGAGTAAATAGGTATCTTTTAATGCCCGTAATATCATGTCCTCGGTGGTTCCTATTTCGGCATCGTTTGTAAACTCGACAGACAGCTCTGTGCTGGAATTCCAGTGAAGTGTCAAGGGCGGAATTGGTGGTGGCTCGATCGGAAGGCAGAGCTCAATCTTTAAATCATCGAGGCTCATAATAGATGTACGAACAATTCCAGGATTATGTTCTGCCTCTTGCCATGCCCTGGCAACGTCAAACCAAGGATCCAATCTCTCCTTGACCTCCAGCAGAGATGCCCGTGTATCCACGGGCTTTGAAGTCAATTCATCAATGACCTTATCGTGTACCATCAGGGGTAATAGATTGTCATTAACCAATCCTCCCTTATATAAGGCAACATAAGCCTCGAATGCTGCATCCTTCGCAGCTCCCTTCTCGCTTAACCATACTCCACGGCTCTCATGAACTCGTAAAGTTTCAGGAACTGATAATGGAAAAATAACTTTTGCCCGAACAAAATCAGTGCCTAAATCGAAGGAGTAAACAAAGTCTGGCCTGAGATCAACGAAATCTTTGGCCGTCAATACTGAACAGAAGTGATATAGATGTGGTACAGCATTATCAAGGTCCAACTGAGCACCGGTGCTTTCTACCCGTAAGACTCTGCCATCTTCCGACTGTTCATCAGCAGTCTCAATTTCGGAAATGTGTTGTAGTTCACGCATTTCATTTTCATACATCTTTCGCATATTTCTTTCAAGTTCATGCCAATCGATTACCTTACCACCTAGAGGATCAAGAAGAATCAGTTTAGAATCTTGCTGCCTCGCTCGCCCTCGTCTTTGTATGAATGATTTGAGATTTGATGGCTTGCTATAGCATAGGGGAGTTAGTGATCGCCTATAAACGAAGACTTTAAAGTAAATGTGGCACCAAAGCTTCGTGGGGAAACTGTAGATGATGCAAAAATGAAAATTCCACACAGATATTCACATTTGAACTTGCAAAAATACAAAAATCATCAGGCTTACCTAAAGCATATTACTAGATTGCATGCACGAACATCAATTCCCTCTTCCAATACATTCGTAGCTATGAGGATATCAATCTTTCCAAGCTTGAAGCGCGACAGAGTATCTTTCTGTTTATCTAGATCAACAAGCTCTCCTACGATCTGTGTGCGCTTGCTATTTGACGATGAACCAACCATGGTTCCAATTTTGAAACGTTCTTTTGTTAATGGATGCTGTGATAACAGATCGGCTAGTACGAAGACTGTGGCTCTTTCTTCGACAAATATGATAGCGGAGAATGGGGGTTCTTGCTGCAAGATTATGTTTAGTAGCTTTGCAACTTTGTCAGAAGTTTTATCTGCGAGTGAAAAAACTGATGGCGAGATTCCGACTTGCTTGAGAGCCTTTGCAATGTAGAGCCTTTCGGTAGCAGCTAAATCCATAACCACGAAGACTTCTCTTGCTTTCATTGTTTTCAGATATTTCGTTACCACTGCTGAGATATAATAATCTGCGGCCCACGAGCCTAGCTCAACAAGAATAGTCTTACCAGTGTTATAGATTAATCTCAGTTCTCTTTGACTATTTGTTTTGTAGTTGTTGAGTAATTTTGCTAGTTCTCTCTGACTTTTTTCGCTACCACTACTCTTGAGTGCCAAGACATACGGGTCCTCGGAGATGTTGAGGTCTTGTATAACCTTTCCAAGGCTTGCAACGGTTTTTGTCATGAGATATTCAGGCTCCGGATTGTATTCGATAATAGATAGGATAGGCAACTTTACTCGAAGCCGAAGATCTGCTTGGTGTATTTTTGGCGTCCGACAGACGGCATCTAAGGTCTCTTCGATCTTGCTCAAAGATTGTGGATCAGATCTTATAACGGGGCTAGCCGAAAGGCCTAGAATGTGAGGAAGTGGGGATATTGATTTATATGGATGATAGAAAGATGTCATAATCTTAGCTCCTGGAGCTTTGTTTAGACAATTGTGTGCTATAGCTGTTAGTAAAGTCTAGGAAATTTCTATTTTTATCGAGTCTTTGATGTGTGATACTCACCTTCATCGAAAATGATCAACGAGAGACGCTCCATGCGTACAAATCCATGTGCAAGCGCATCTAGAAGAACTTGGTAGGGAGATACGGCTATCTTAACATCCTTCAAGATCGCATCCCATTGTCTTTGCTCTGTCCATCGATCCACGCCATCAGAGCCAACAAGTAATTTAACTAAAACTGAGGAAATATTCAACTGGAGATATTCATTATGCTGAGTACAGAGCGCAACGGTAGGTGCAAGAAACCATATCAGCTATAGCATCACAATTAGCGAAAGGGAAAAAGGAGGATGGAACTTTCTGCCCACCTTATCTGGCTCCATCCGCTCGAGCTCTGCTAAAATTCGTAGAACAGCCCTAATAGTCAATTGGTCAGACTACGACCAGCTTTTGGAAGATAATTACGACGGTGAATCATATTAGAACACCGTTTTCCACTACAACTCAAAACCTTCAAGATTTAGATACCTGGTTGGCAATGCAGCAGGAACCGGACCTTTCCGATTTACTCCAACTTGAGTCCTAAAGGAGAGAACCTACACATGTGTCTTGCCACTCCCTGTGTCCATCTACTACCATCAGCATCAAATCCCCTTCAAAAACTCCTAGGCAAACTTACCGCAACGATAATATTCCCCTTCAAACTTTCCTCCAACATTTCTAGTTGATACGTTCTCGGAGTGACTGTCACATTCTTCCCTTTCTCCTCTTCACTAATAGCATCCTCATTTTCTATAGCCGACTCTGTAGTACTACTACACAAATCCTCTACAATCTCATTAGAAATCTTCCCGGATGTCAAACCGTCCAAATACCCTTCAACCTCATGTTGGTCATCGACAAGGCTACCGCCAATATCAGGGTAGGCTTCAGGGTCTGAAGTATTTTCCATCGCCTTAGAATAACTGGAAAAGAAAGAGCGACTAAGTAAACCGCAAAAACCGACTGGACGCAATGATTTTTGAAGGAATAATGTCGGTTTGAGAAATAAAGAGTTGTGGATGAGGCTCGAATAAAGCGTTTGTCTTCGCCATCGGGATTTTTTGATTCCGGGTGCAGTTATCCATTTTGGGAATTGATGAAATCTCATTTGTCATTTTACATTTGTGCACTACACTGATTACAATATCCAGCAAGAAATATTGAGTGAAAAAGACAGATATCTGAGCAGGCGGACAGAGAAAGATCTTGTCCTAAAGTATTCTAACCCAAACCAGTTGATTCTAGAAAAGTACAAAATGTACCTGACTAATCTCAGGGTAGTGTTACGTGACGGTTGTTATCCCACTAGTGGCTCACGTGCACTAGCCCTGTATATAAAGACCTTCTTACTTAGAATCTTCTTAGTTCTTTAGTTTTAGATTCTAAGTAATTGAATTGACTCCGTTTACGACTTTTCCGTCACAGGTAGCTTAATGTTACAACGGCTATCTTCTATGCCGCGTCACATGACTAAACCAAGGTAACGTGATTAAAGTCACGTTATGGACCGCTGAGGAACGCTGGCTGTCCAGGACCGCTGCGCGGTCCTGACTAGCCATAGGCATGAAGGTCTATATAATCAAGATGGATTCCCTTTGTATAGAGCTTCGTGCTCAAGATCAATCATTTAGTATACTCTACTATTAGTTACGAATTGCATATCATTATTGTCATTACTTAAGTGTAACGATACTGTACCGGAGGCAGCGGCTGCCTGAGGTTTCGTCTGATTGGTAGTTGTGGGTTAAGGCTTTATCACTAGTCTTCACTTGGAAGTGAAGTCGTTACTAGATCAAGTAGAATGTAGGTAAACTAATTGATAACTAAGTTGAGCACGAAGCTCCTAAACTATGAAACTACTCTGACTATATACTGAACAATAAAGGGGGCCCCTAGGAGCTTTCTGGCTCCTCAAGACTCCTTATCACGCGATTTCTGATGGTGCGTGCGCATACGATCTTCAGGTGACCAAGATCACATACTAATTCGATGAAATCTGATAGTGTTTGCACACGGCCTAAGCTCTCCTAATTAATCAGTTTGCTACCATCGTAACACCATCAATCCTAATGGTGAATCGTGACATTAAGTCCCTGCTTGACGCCTAGTTATAAACCACCTCGAGAGCCTGGAGCACTTCCACGTGATCTAGACGGCAAACCTCGTAACACTTAACTTCTAAGGGCGCGTTCGGATCGATTTTTTATTTTATATTTGATCATATTTGGGCCAATATATTAGGCCTAATATAGTCGAATTGAATGAAAGATTCCAATCAATATATATATATATATATATTCAAATATCTGTATTTATTGTCACACTCAAGAATACTGGGTAAAGTATCTTGTATTAGAAAATACTAAGCTAAGGAGAAAAGAAGAAGGAAAACAAGAGTAGAGAGTTTTCCTATGATTAAATACAAACGGGGCATGCCACGTGACCCGGAGGTGTGAGGCGTCACATTTATTAAATATAATATTAGATCTACTAAAAAATATTGAGTCTAAAATATATTTAAAAAAAATATTCGAACTTTTTCTTATATAATGATCAATAATAACTTTTTAAAATTATTAAATAAAATATTTGAAAAATCTGTTAAAAGGAATGACCTCACACAGGGAATAGTGGTGTTACGAGGTTTGCCGTCTAGATCACGTGGAAGTTCTCTAGGCTCTCGAGGTGGTTTATAACTAGGCGTCAAGCAGGGACTTAAGTAATGACAATAATGATATACAATTCGTAACTAATAGTAGGATATACTAAATGATTGATCTTGAGCACGAAGCTCTATACAAAGGAAATCCATCTTGATTATATAGTCCTTCATGCTTCCATGATTACTAGTGATCCTTCATGATCATTAGTGATCATCTATATCGTGATCCTTAGTGATCCTTAATGATCACCAGTGATCATCTATACCGTGATCCTTAGTGATCCTTAATGATCACTACTGATCATTAGTGATCATCTATATCGTGATCCTTAGTGATCCTTAATGATCACCAGTGATCATCTATACCGTGATCCTTAGTGATCCTTAATGATCACTACTGATCATTAGTGATCATCTATATCGTGATCCTTAGTGATCCTTAATGATCACTACTGATCATTTGTGATCACGTGTCTTGGTAGTTGTGTAGCCCGTCGTAACAAGTGGGAAGCTGATAGGGCAGAACTGAGGTAATATTGGTCTAGTAGGTTAATCTCTCTTCTAAGTTCTACGGAAGTGCGAAGCTCTCTTACAGAGAGCTTCTCAATCTAGTCCTAATAGGACTAGTGCCCTGTGCACGTGCTACGCAGGAACCATTCACTTTAACAAAATCTTTATTTTTATTTTCCTTTATTATCTTTTCAAATATCCCCCAAATATATTAATCTCACTCAAATATATTTAAATATATATTAGATCCAATATTTTATTGCATCCAATATTTCTAATAGTTTTGAAAATGGATCCGAATGGACCCTAAATGGCTCTTCTATGTGTCTAAGGTATCGAGGTACGTGTCTAGATAAAGTATTCGAAACAATTAATTAATGTCCATTTACTAAATTTTAGATGTCTATGAAAAGGGGCTTTGTCAAGATCCTATGTGTCTTGAGTACCTAGTATTTCTATGGTGGGCATTCTCAACATTTGTAATGGGATAACCCCGCGCTCATGACCATAATTTTACCACCATTTTCTCCAACCATATGTCGCTTGTTGCCTTCAACAACTCTCACATCTCTCCCGACCCAAGAATTTCTCAGCATCCTTGATACCTTTTGTACATTCTTCTCCCATACCAATGACCGCTTTTATTAAGTCATGGTTGATTTTCTCGTTCACTACACTATCCTTCTTATAATCCTCATGACCCGCAACGAAGTTTCTTATCCATTTTGCTGCTGTCCATAATCTTCCGTCTGCCCTCTTTCTGATTAAATCCAAGTAAGACGCCAACTCACACCTGGTTTGGACATCAATATTGACGCTATCGAGATATGATTCCACCAGCGGTATTAAGCCTGGGAATTTGTTCTCCGAATCACTCTTGCTGCCATTGATAATTTCATCGACGGACATAAGTGCATATTCGTCCTCTACCGGGCCAGATGGCGTAGGTGGCCTCGAAATACTAAGTGGGGTGTTGGTACCAGATGCTCCGCCAGATGCACCACCATTCGAGGAATATGGTCGCGGCGCGCGAGTTGGGAATGGATTCTTTCGAAAGTAAAATTTCTGTTCCAGGACTGCATCTCGAGCATGTGCTGTTTCCATATTTTCACTTACTTTAGCGATAGGTATGTAAAAATTGAGGTCGAAGGAGAGGATTGCCCGTGTGATGAGTACAATAAATACTGAAAAGGCAGCATTCTCAAAATCGGTGATTTGGATCTCCATTGGTCTAAATTCTACTCTCCAGCCAATATCACTCCCTGTTGGTGGTGGTTTGAAACGCATATGTTGCCAGTTGGTTGACTGAAGGTTCTCGAAATGGTCCGTTTTCGATAAATCGAGTTCTTCCAGATCCTCAGCAAAGACGACAATGGGATCCCGAATGAAAAGATGTGCAAAGTGAGTGGCTAAACGATCATCCATGCCCTCATTCATAAGCTGTTGTTTGACCTCGGGATCGATCACAAGATCGGGATCCAAGTACTCCTTTCGTAATCGAGGATCTTCTGAAATGTATGTAGAATTGGAGGCATAACGTGATTTGGGTATGCGCCATCGATCATGCTTCAGGGGCTACTAAAATTAGCATTCCTCACGTATCAACTATAGCTTCACTGACCTTCTCTCCCAACTCTTCTGGAGTTCGATCGTCTACAGAGCGACTGATTTGGTTCCATCTGACGTCCGTATCGGCTAAGAAGCCTTTGTAAATTGGAGTCGCCGCTGTCAAGGCGAGAAGAATCGGAGCCAAAGGACTTAACTGATCATACATTCGTCGCCCTTCAGTGATGTTTTTAGCTTGGAAGGTAATCTGCAAACAACAGCTGCCCATGCCAAAAGCCATTGCGTCCATATGGATGAAGTTGTCGGGAGCAGCGCCATTCCGAACATCATCGTCCTCTGGCCAACTCTGCAAGTCGTAATTAACGGTCGGGTCTTTCCAAGGCCAGGCAGTGTTTTCATCTCTAAAAACCGGTACATTCACTTCAACCTTTCGGCCTCTTCTTGCACGAATGTTGGCTGCAAGAGTAGGAAAACGAATGTGTGGATTGGCGATTTCATCGGGAACAAATTGAGACCGTAATTTCTCCCCCGAAGGCGGGAAAAAAGGGGACGTAAATACCCCTGGAGAACCCAAGCGAGGATAAGTTGTCAAGGTGATTGGATACTCCTCAGCATTCATATGCTCTTTAGCAAGCTTCCGCCTTCATATGATCAGCTTTTGGAACCCGCTTCTAAGTTTGTTTTACGCACCTCCACTTCATATTCGGTTCAACGTCCAATAAATCCTTGAATCCAATTCCCCAAGGTCTTCCAGGTGTAGCTTCCAGCATAAAGCGTCCGAATTCCGGATGGAAAACTGGTAATGCGCTACCCCTTCAGACAGTTAGACTCTCCTTTTCACTCCATCTAGTACACTTACTTGGTATTCGTAACGTCCTGTAGTGCTGGTACACATCCTCCATTCGTACGCAACTCCTCATCTTGCGCTAATGCGGTCAAGATATCTGCCTGTCTCAAAGATAAGGTAACTTTCTCATCATTGTCTTTGTAATTTACGACCAAATATTCGACCTGAATATGTTTTAGCGATGGTATCTTCCATGAATGAGTATGTGCAGACCTCGTCACCCCAGAGTAGGGCATCGCGCTCTTTTCCTTTCGCACGGTTCCAAATCGCTAATAGTTGCTATATCGAGTACTATGAGCATAGTATTCCGTGATATATCCAGCCGTAAGTCGTACCTGTATACCCCATTCCCTGACTATATGCGCATTCTTTTTAGCTTCCGGCCATTCCAACGGCGTTCCTAACGCACTTCCAACACAAATTAGCATTAAACGGACACTGGACGGCGTGCCGCAAACTCACAGAAGACCCATTTCTTAAGACTTGAAACACGCAAAGGGAGGTTTCTCGGGGTGATGAAAAGTTCGCAATTGACTGCCAAGGGGTTTTGATATTTCTTATGTTCAGGACTCGATGCCCCCACTTTGCGCGGCGTTATCACAGCTTCATGATCCTATCAATCCTATCAATCCTTATCGGTTGCGCAATATCGGATTTGTGTGCTGCCTTGGGGAAAGGTATCAAACAGCTTCTCTCTCCTCATCGATGCTTTAATATATATTCTAGCAGATGTCCCATAGAAAAAAATCTCGACAGCCCGCGGAGACCGGATTAGCGTATTGATGTATTTGTAAGGCTGTTACTAATTGTGATGATATAGTGGGGTTGTCGGTCTCGAGTCTCGACCTGCTGCTCACTGCAACGACTGTGGCTTCCTTTTGTGGCTGATGCATGAGCCACACACACGGTTGATTGCTTCCCAGGCATCAAATGAATGTTCCAATGGCAAACGAGATTGTAATCGATCAGATATCAAATTAGATTGATTTACAGTTGCACCACGAGACATCGTGATATAGACACAGCAGGTTTCTTATGGTAGACCTGAGATTCTATATCTATATGATATTACTTGTCCATGCCAATAACAATAATAGTTTATCAGTCATTGGCAGAAATGCACATATTTGGGCTACTTGAATGTCAACTACCATATCTAACAATGCATATATCTCCTCAGCAGATAGATATAACATTGGCGGGATTATCTTGAGAGTTATAAAATCCCAAGTTGAAAAATTCTT